CTAGTGCATGAAGAACTAGAATTTTAATCCAGGTTTTTGAACTTTAAATTCAGTACTCTTTCCACTATGCCTCCCTATACACCATCATTTTGAATATGAATCTCAGATGGAGGGAACTTGTGTCTGAATTATTCACAGTCAGTAAAGAATCTATGATCTACTATGCTGGGAATGACAATTTAAAGAAGAATGGTGTGGTGTTCATCATCACAAAGGATGCTGCAAGACCTATCCTGAAGTACAATGTTGTAAGTGATAGGATAATATCCATATGCCTACAAGGAGCTCTGGTAGCATAGTGGCTAAGACATTTGACTGCTAACCAGAAGGCTGGCAGTTCAAACCCACCAGCCACTCCTCGGAAGGAAGATGGGGCAATCTACTTCCGTAGTGATACTGCCTCGGAAACCCAAGGAGGGGTCGCTATGAGTCAGGTCCAACTCGATGGCACATAACAACAACAACAACACAAGGAAGACCAGTTAATACTACTATGATTCAAATTTATGCACCAACAACCAAAGCCAAAGATGAGGAAACTGAAGATTTTTATCAACTTCTGCAGCCTGAAATGAACCAAACGTGCAATCAAGATGTGTTAATTATCACTGGTGACTGGAATGCAAAAGTTGGAAACAAAGCAGAATCACCAGTAGTTGGAAAATTTGGCCTTTGTGACAGAAATAATGCTGGAGATCTCATGACAGAATTTTGCAAGACCAACGACTTATTCATGGCAAATACCATTTTCAATAACACAAACAGCAGCTATACACTTGGACTTTGCCAGATGGAGTACACAGGAATCAGATTGTCTACATCTGTGGCAACAAGCAATGGAAAAGTTAAATATCCTCAGCCAAAACAAGGCCAGGAGCTGATTGTGGAACAGACCATTAACTGTTCATATGCAAGTACAACTTGAAGTTGAAGACAATTAAAACAAGTCCATGAAACCCAAAATTAACCTTGAATATATCTCTCCTGAATTTAGAGACCAGCTAAAGAATAGATTTGATGCATTGAACACCAATGACTGAAAAACAGAATTGTGGGATGACATCAAGAATATCATCCATGAACAAACCAAGAGGTCATTAAAAAGACAAGAAAAAAGAAAAGACCAAAATGGATGACAGAAGGACTCTAAAATTTGCCCTTGAATGGAGAGTAGCTAGAGCAAATGGAAGAACTGACAAGATAAAAAAGCTGAGCAGAAGACTTCAAAGAGCAGCTCTAGCAGACAAAGCCAATTACTGTAATGAAATGTGCAAAGACCTGGGGTTAGAAAACCAAAAAGGAAGAACATGCTTGGCATTTCTTAAGCTGAAAGAACTGAGGAAAAAAATTAAGCCTCAAGTTGCAATATTGAAAGATTCTATGGGCAAAATATTGAAAGATTCTATGGGCAAAATATTGAATGATGCAGGAAGCATCAAAAGAAGATGGAAGGAATATATAGAGTCACTGTACCAAAAAGAACTGGTCGATGTTCATCCATTTCAGGAAGTGGCATATGATCAAGAACCAATGGTACTGAAGGAAGAAGTCGAGGGTGCACTGAAGCAATTGCCAAAGAACAAGGCTCCAGAAATTGACAGAATACCCATTGAGATGTTTCAACAAATGGATGCCACACTGGAGGCACTTACTTGGTTATGTCAAGAGATTTGGAAGATAGCTACCTGGCCAACTGATTGGAAGAGATCCATATTTGTGCCCAATCCAAAGAGAGGTGATCCCACAGAATGTGAAAATTATTGAACAATATCATTACTATCACATGCAAGTAAAATCTTACTGAAGGTAATTCAAAAACGGTTGCAGCAGTATATTGATAGAGAACTTCCAGAGGTGCAGGATGGATTCGTAAGAGGATGTGGAACAAGGGATATCATTTCTGATGTCAGATGGATCTTGGCTAAAAGCAAAGAATACCAGAAAGATGTTTACTTGTGTTTTATTGACTATGCAAAAGCATTTTATTGTGTGGATGATAACAAATTATGAGTACCATTGAGAAGAATGGGAATTCCCGAACATTTAATTGTACTCATGAGGAACCTGTACATAGACCAGGAGGCTGTCATTTGAATGGAACAAGGGGACACTACATGGTTTACAGTCAAGAAGGGAGTGCGTCAGAATTGTGTCTTTTCATCATACTTATTCAATTTATATGCTGAGCAAATAATCCAAGAAGCAGGACTATATGAAGAAGAACGTGGCAACAGGATTGGAGGAAGGCTCATTAACAACCTGCGATATGCTGACAACACAGCTTTCTTTGCTTAAAGTGAGGATGACATGAAGCACTTACTGATGAAGACTGAAGACTACAGTCTGCAGTATGGATTACATCTCAATATAAAGAAAATAAAAATCCTCATAACTGGACCTATAAGCAGTATCACGATGAATGGAGAAAAGGTTGAAGTTGTCAAAGACTTCACATTGCTTGGTTCTACAATCGACGCCAATGGAGGCAGCAGTCAGGACATTAAAAAACATATAGCACTGGGCAAGTTGGCTGCAAAGGCCCTATTTCAAGTGCTGAAGAGCAAAGATATCTCCTTGAGGACTAAGGTATGCCTGACACAAGCCATGATATTTTCAATGTCCTCATATCATGTGAGAGCTGGACAATGAATAAAGAAGACCAAAGAAGACTTGGTGCTTTTGAGATGTGGTGCTAGAGAAGAATACTGAAAGTACCATGGACTGCTAAAAGAACTAACAAATCTGTCCTGGAGGAAGTGCAGCTGAAAGCTCCCTGGAAGTGAGAATAATCAGACTTCATCTCACCTACTTTGGTCATGTTGTCAGAAGGGACCATTCCCTGGAGAAGTATGTCATGCTTGGTAAGGTGGAGGGTAGACGAAGGAGGGGAAGGCCCACAACAAGATGGACTGACACCGTGGTTGCCGTGATGGGCTCAAGTATAGCACGGATCACGGAGCTTGTGCGGGACCTGGCAGTGTTTCGTTCTGCTGTGCATAGGGTCACTATGAATCGGAGACAACTCAATGGCACCTAACAACAACAACCACCACAATAACAACAAAGAATCTAGAGTAGCCCCACATGAACAGTGGCACCTGGAACTGACTTCAGGGAAGAAGGGAGACAATATATATCTCTCTTTTTATCGCTTTTAAAAATAAACATGTACGAACAGTCTGGACCGTTGCTTCTCTGTCATATCTCATTTCATCCTTCCTATATGCACAGACGTTCAAAAGCCCAGAAGAGGATTAAGAAGTTGGTAGGAGTACTGAGAGGAAGAGATGCTAGACTAGGATCAAGGCCAGGAAAAGAAGCAGAGCTTAGATTGGGCTGGGGCCAGGACTAAGGTCCAGGCTCAGACCATCCCTGGAGATAGATAAGGTAAGAAAGAGGAAAGGAATGCTTGTAGATGGCACTCATAGACAAGGGCTTGTGTGGGAGTGTAATTCACAGCAGAATCTCCTATTACTAGCCATGAATAATAAAGTAGCTATAACTCACTTAACTCAGACATACAGGGTCTGCTGATACTCAACTATAATTAGAGATTGAAGTTTATCAGGCAGCATGCCACCTTGCATTTGGTTTGTTTTTATCTCTTAATTACTGGATTTCCTTCATGTAGGTTATTTTTGTACATTTTGCATAATAGTTGAAGCTAAAATGCCTTTAAACAATTTTTAAAGAGTGAAGCCCAAAAAAATCTGTTTAAAAAGAAATGACCAAAATAATTTATTGTGTGCATTTGAAGTCTGCAAATGTAATGACAATGTCAAATTTTTCACAAGAATCTGAAAAGATGAAATAAGAAACAATAGTAAAGAAATATAGGGGTGTCTTGAAATCTAACCAACCCAGCAGAAGCTCTTTCAAAGTATCCACCTCCACTGAAACAGCCAGAAGCCAGCTACCACTGCTGCTACCAATTTTAGCACCTAAAATATACTGCCTCCTACAGCAAAAGTGAATTCTATCTTGAAGATTCATCTACACTCATTTCCAAATTTGGGAGTATTGGTAAATGGAACCCAAAGCCATAGACCTGGATTTTAAATAAAAAAAGTTACATTTAAATAAATCTCTGCTCTTCATAAGCTAAATACCCATTTGTCATTTTTTACCCGTCATTTGAGTTTCTCCCACACATCAGCCACAAATTCTGGACCACGGTGAGGCTGCGGTCAGCCCAGTGTCCGGTCAGCTAGCTAAAGATAACTACCCTTCTTGTAGACAGCTCATTTACTGGCTCAAGACTAAAACAAAAAGAGCACCATGGAGTAGTCAATACTCACACACACACACACACACATACATATATATTGACTGCTCACCAGAATGCTGGCGGTTCAAACCCACCAGCCACTCCTCGGAAGGAAGGTTGGGCAATCCTACCTCCATAGTGATACTGCCTTGGAAACCCAAGGAGGGGTCGCTATGAGTCGGGGCTGACTCGACGGCAAACAATAACAACAACAAAACAACAACATATATATGGGAGCTCCAGTAGTGTAGTGCCTAAGGCACTTGACTGCTAACCAGAAGGCCGGCGGTTCAAACCCACCAGCCACTCCTCAGAAGGAAGATGGGGCAATCTACTTCCATAGTGATACTGCCTCGGAAACCCAAGGAGGGGTCGCTATGAGTCGGGTCTGACTCAACAGCACATAACAATAACAATATATTGTTTTTTAAGCTAATTTTAAGAGATGGTGTAAAAAGACCCTACTTTCCAGTAACTTGAAATATTCCCCAGGATAGTAATTATATTAGGGTAAAAACAAAGTAAAACTTTTCTTCCTTTTCTAGCAACTCTCTTTTCTACTAGTCATTACATTTTGTTTGCTAAAGGGGTTTTTTACTTCTAAACAGAAAGAAGTCATCTGAATTGAGGGAGGGTGGGAAGCTGGGTGATGTTACTGGGGGAAGACCGCAAAGTGTGCCCACTCCCCTTTCAAGCTGGTAGAGAGAGAGTCTTCTCATTTTAGAAAGGATACTGATTTCATTATCTCTCTGCTTTAGAATATCTTGTAGCTTTTTATATTCTTCCTTTTTCAATGTTTCTTGGCAGTCTTGGTCTTGGTCTTTGACTTCACAGGAGACTGAACTCTTCCCAAGGATCTTCTTATCATTCAACAGTTTCTATAAGATGAAATAAGAGCTTAGTGTCCAAAACTCCATTTCACATTTCCTTGTTTCGTAATTCATTTTTACTTTTACAATTCCCTGCACACATCAGGCATGCATGCCCTTTCCTGCCTCTTTGTCTTTGCGATGCTGGTGTTTTGGCCTGATATATCTCTCCCCTCTGCCTGTCCTCTTTCTTCTTTTTCATCCTTCCCCTCTCCCCTATCTCACTTCTCCATCCTTAATTGGGAAATTCCTACTCAAATATTATCTCCCCTTGTCTTCTTTCCCAGTTTCCTCACTCTTCTCTATGAAACCATACCACTTAATCCACACTTTGCTTATCATGTACTATGATTATGCTTTGTATCTGTCTTCTTCATGACTTGGTCATCCAACTTCTCCTTCCCTACTCCTGGGCCACACTAGAGTCACAACAAACATTTATTATCTTAGTGAAACATGCAAAAAACAAGTGTGGTAGAAGTAAAGCTTAATTATATTCTGAATGCATTGTCATAAGAGTTAAAAGTGAAGGCAGAGAAAAACAGATATTTTATGAATAAATCTAAACTGTTGAAAAAAATATAGGACATAGTTATCTTGATACAGTTTTAAACAAAATGGTTTTTGAACATGGTACTATACTGCGAAGCAGACAAAGATTCCTAGGAAAAGAATGAGAAGTGTATGTTGTTGTTGTTATATGCCATTGACTCGGACTCGATTCGTAGCAACCCCTCCTTGGGTTTCCGAAGGAGTATCACTATGGAAGTAGATTGCCCCATTTTTCTTCTGAGGAGTGGCTGGTGGGTTTGAACTGCCAGCCTTCAGTTAGCAATCAAATGCCTTAGGCACTATGCTAGCAGAGCTCCTGAGAAGTAGATAGTCTGAACTTATTTATCCGCAAATAAGATAACCACCTCTGAGGAAAATGAGGCCCTGCTTCGTATGTCCAGGATGGTGTGATCTTTGAACAAAAACAAACAAAAAGAAACCTGGCTTCTACTGGAGGAAACATTTAAATTTACCTTTAAATGATGAAAACAGTGATGAATTTTACGCATGTCAGCGCCAACCTCTAGTTTACTCTCTGGATCTTGGTCTTCCAAAAAGGATATAATTAGTTTTTCCAGCCTAAAAATACATGATGTATGAGAAGCAAATATGAGCCAAAAACTTTAGAAATTTTCATAGTATCACTTAATTTGTTAACATTTAAAGTATAGATCGTTTTCCCTTCTTTATGGAAATCTAGTTATCTGGCTTGCTATAAAATTTAAGAAGAAAGAAACAGGTTGACAAAGTGAAGTCTGTAGATAATTATGTCATTATTTGACTAATTTTCAATGTATTCATATGCATCTTTCAGTTTAGGAATCATTTCATTTTCACAATCCATGCATTCTAGCCAAACTGGATTTCTATGCTTCTGTGCCTGACTGTCACATTGCTAGAGAAAGTAATGAAAACATTTTATTACTTCCATTAAAAATTCATGCTACTTATCCTCAGCCAGGACCTCACTGATGTACCACAACCCTTTTATTCATTTCTGGTTGTCTTATATTCTTCACAGTGACTATTCCAAATCTTTCCACAGGCCTCCAAGCCTACCACTTCTCCTTCACTCTCAATCAACAAAGTAGCTTCTCACTAGACTAAGTAAAGCCAATGCTGCCACAAGCAGAATCCTTCAGTACTTCTTCCTTCTCCTCAGAGTTCCTCCTTCACCACATAGGCCCTCCTTCTGCAGACCAACCTCTCTTCTAGGGCTCCTCTTGCTTCTTTCAATGTCTACCTGATTAATTATCCCATTTCTCTTTCTTCTTCATCACCTCTCTATACTGGCTCTTCCCTCTTAGCTTATAGTGATTTTCATATTTTTCCTATTCTAAAACAAAACAAAATAGAACACAAAACACTTCCCTTTGGAGGAACCATCCAACTACTCTCCTAGTTTGCTCTGTAGCTGCCTACTATGATCTTACTATAATCTATTACTATGCTTACTATACTCTATGCGGTATTCTAGAATTTGTGTGCAAACCTGAGCTCCTCCATTTGTTTTTAAGTGTCATGAGGCTAATCCTGGCTCTCATTCATTTTGTGTTTCCTCTCCTTCACCTCATAACCAAGGCAATGCACGTATTAGGTTTTCAATACAAATATGGTCATTAATTAATGGATTCATTTATATGGAAATTGGAATGGAACAATAAGGAAGGTGTGAGGATGGCAATCAGTATCTAAGATGCTAGGTATAGTAATATAGCAGCAGTGTACCTTTCTAGCATTATAATGAAAATATTTGCATATTTTTAGTATCTTTGTAAACTTTTTAAACATATTTCCCTTCTACTGTTACTATCAGAATATTCAAACAAGAAATAATGATTTTTGTTACTTACAGCCTTGGATTTTATTTTTATCTCCTTTCATATACTCTGACATGTGATGGCTGATATTTGCCAATGTGAGACAACATATATTGTAATTTTTGGAGAGTTTATCCAGGTGGAAGGACACCTGTCATTTGCATCCATAGAACAGAGCTTCAAAACATCAGATACATAGAGATTAACTTCTGAGACAAAGACTGTAAATATGTCTTTTGTACATATTATAAAAATATATACTTATTAAAAAGTTCCAAACAACACAGATGTGAATAAATTTTAAAAAGTGAACCTTCACTATTCCCCTATTATTCCTATTATGTATTCTTTAAATCTTGGGGAATCCAGTGTTAACAGTTGAAATGTATTCTTCTACCTCTTAATATCTACATACATATACATATATTTGTTTATAGATGTTGTTTATGTCTACAAAGATGAGATTAGAGTCTGAATAGTGTTCTGGATCATTATTTTCCTAAACAATTTATCAGAGATAATCTTCCATGTCAGTATATCTTTAGTAGAGCTATTTAGCAGTGCAATGGTTAAGCATTCAGTTGCTAATTGAAACGTTGAAAGTTCAAACCCACCCAGTGGCTCCAACTGGAGAAAGACCTGGTGATCTGCTTTGGTAAAGACTACAGTCTTGGAAATCCAATGGAGTCATTCTAGTCTGCCACACAGAGTTGCTCTGAGTCAAAAATTGACTTCATAGGACTTAATAACAACAGCATTTTATTTTTTAGTGGCTATATAATATTCCACACTATGGCTGTTGTTACTATCTTTAAAGTGATGCATTCTTAATTGTTACTTTTCCTCTGTCAGCAAGAAGGAGGCCTGGGTCTATAATCCCCACTTAATGAGGTTTTTTATTTTGTTTTGTTTTAAATAGTAATGCTTATCTACTTGTATTTTCCCTGAATACTTATTAGATATTCTAAAAATTTGAAAAACACTATTCTCTAGAGTGGGTATAATCAATCAAGATGTATTAATTACTACTGGTGATTGGAACACACAAGTTGGAAATGAAGAATCATTGGTAGCTGGAAAATATGGCGTTGTTGATAGAAATGATGTTGGAGATTGCCCGATAGAATTTTGCAGGACCAATGACTTATTTGTTGCAAATACCTTTGTCAACAATATAAACAGCAGCTATACACATGGACCTTGCCAGATGGAATACCTTGGAATCTGATTGATTATATCTTCAGAAAGAAAGAGGCAATGGAGACCCTCAATATTTTCAGCCAAAACAAGGCCAGAAGCTGCCTGTGGAACAGACCATCAATTGCTCATATGCAAGTTCAAGTTAAAGCTGAAGAAAAAACAAGTCCATGAGAGCCAAAATATGACCTTGATTACATCCCACCTGAATTTAGAGACTATCAAAAGAACAGATTTGACACATTGAATACTAATGACTGAAAACCAGATGAGCTGTGGGATGACATCAAGAACATCATATGTGAAGAAAGCAAAAGGTAATTAAAGACAGGAAAGGAGAAAGAAAGACCAAAATGGATGTCAGAAGAGATTCTGAAACTTGATCTTGACCAGAGAGTAGCTAAAATGAATAAAAGAAATGACAAGATAAAAGACCTAAGCAGAAGATTTCAAAGAGCAGCTTGAGAAGATAAAGTCAATTATTATAATGAAATGTGCAAAGACGTGGCATTAGAAAACCAAAAGGAAAGAACATGTCCGGCATTTCTCAAGCTGAAAGGACAGAAGAAAAAACTTCAAGCCTCGAGTTGCAATACTGAAGGATTCTAATGGGCAAAATAAGGAGCTCTGGTGGTGCAGTGCCTAAGGCATTTGACTATTAAACAGAAAGTTGGTGACTGAAACCCACCAGCCACTCTGCAGAAGGAGATGGGGCAATGTATTTCTGTAAAGATTTACTACCTTGGAAACCCAATGAGGGTCGCTATGAGTCAGAATTTATTTGATAGCAGTTTTTTTTTTTTTTTTTAATGGGCAAAATATTGAATGATGCATCATAAGAAGATGGAAGGAAAGCACAGAGTCACTGTAACAAAAAAGAATTGGTCAGTGTTCACCTGTTTCAGGAGGTGGCATATGATAAAAAACCAATGGTACTGAAGGAGGAAATTGAAGCTATACTGAAGGAACTGTCAAAAAACAAGGCTCCAGGAAATGACAGAATGCCCATTGACATGTTTCAACAAATGGATGCAGTGCTGGAGGCACTTGCTTACTATGCCAAGTAATTTGGAAGATAGCTACCTGGCCAACTGAGTGGAAGAGTTCCATATGTGTACCCATTCTGAAGAAAGGTGATCCAACAGAATGTGGAAATTATCAAACAATATAGTTAATATTACATGCAAGTAAAACTTTACTGAAGGTAACTCAAAAACTATTGTAGCAGTATATTGACAGAGGACTTCCAGAAATGCAAGCTGGATTCAGAAAATGGAATGAGTGATATTGCTGATGTCAGGTGGATCTCAGTGAAAGCAAAGAATACCAGAAAGATCTTTACTTGTGTTTTATTGACTATGCAAAGATATTTGATTGTGTAGATCATAACAAGTAATGGATAACACTGTAAAGAATGGGAATTCCAGAACACTTAATTGTGCTCATGAGGAACCGGTACATGGTACATGGACCAGGAGGCTGTTGTTCAAACAGAACAAGGAGATACTGCATGGTTTAAAATCAGGAAGGGTGTATGTCAGGGTTGTATCCTTTCACCATACTTATTCAATCTGTTTGCTGAGCAAATAATCCTATATGAAGCTGGACCTATATGAAGAATGCAGCATCAGGACTGGAGGAAGACTCATTAACAACCTGCAATATAGAGATGACACAACATTGCTTGCTGAAAGTGAAGATGACTTGAAGCACTTACTGATGAAGATTAAAGACTACAGTCTGCAGTATGGATTACACCTCAACATAAAGAAAATTAAAATCCTCACAACTGGACCAATAAGTAGCATCATAATAAATGGAGAAAAGATTGCAGTTGTCAAAGATATCCTTTTACTTGAATCCATAGTCAACATCCTTGGAAGCAGCAGTCAAGAAATCAGATACTGTATTGCACTGGGCAAATATGTTGCAAAAGACTTCTTTAAAGTGTTGAAGAGCAAAGAAGTCACTTTGAAGACTGCAATGCACCTTACCAAAGCCATGGTATTTTCAATTGCTTCATATGCATGTGAAAGCTGGACAATGAATAAGGAAGACTGAGGAAGAGTTGATGCCTTTGATTTGTGGTGTTGGTGAAGAATACTGAAAATAACATGGACCATCAGAAGAAGGAACAAATCTGTCCTGGAAGAAGTGTAGCCAGAATGCTCCTTGGAAGTGAGAATGGCCAGACTTTGTCTCAACTACTTTGGTTGTGTAGTCAGAAGAGACAATTCCCTGGAGAAGGATATCATGGGTGAACATTTATATCAGGTAGATACACTCCTTGGAGCAATCAATTTTGGGAGAACAGATGATCATGCTTGGTAAAGTGGAGAGTCAGCAACAAAGGGGAAGACCATCAACAAGATGGATTGACACAGTGGCTACAATGATGGAATCAAGCATAGCAAAGTTTGTGAGGATGGTGCAGGATCAGGCAGTGTTTCGTTCTGTTGTACATAGGGTTGCTGTGAGTTGGAGCCAACTTGATGGAACCTAACAACAAGAACTAGAGTGAAAATATTTTGTGTCCAAGAAAAATTTCTAACAGACAATATT